TTGTGGGACACTCTTGTGGGACACTCTTGTGGGACACTCTTGTAGGACACTCTTGTCGGAAACTCTTGTGGGACACTCTCAAGGGACACTCTTGTGAGACACTCTTGTGGGACACTGTTGCGGGACACTCTTGTGGGGCACTCTTGTGGGACACTCATACGGGACACTCTTGTGAGACACACTTGTGGGACACTCTTGTAGGACACTCTTGTGGGACACTCTTGTGGGACACTCTTGTGGGACACTCTTGTAGGAAACTCTTGTGGGATACTCTTGTAGGACACTCTTGTGGGACACTCTTGTAGGACACTCTTGTGGGACACTCTTGTAGGGCACTCTTGTGGGACACTCTTGTGGGACACTCTTGTAGGAAACTCTTGTGGGACACTGTTGTAGGACACTCTTGTGGGACACTCTTATAGGACACTCTTGTGGGACATTCTTAAGGGACCTAAGGGACACTTTTGTGAGACACTCTTGTGGGACACGGTTGCGGGACACTCTTGTGGGACACTCTTGTGGGACACTCTTACGGGACACTCTTGTAGGACACTCTTGTGGGACACTCTTGTAGGACACTCTTGTGGGACACTCTTACGGGACACTCTTGTAGGACACTCTTGTGGGTCACTCTTATGGGACACTCTTGTCGGACACTCTTGTGCGACACACTTGTGAGACACTCTTGTGGGACACTCTTGTGGGACACTCATACGGGACACTCTTGTGGGACACTCTTGTAGGACGCTCTTGTGGGGCACTCTTGTGGGACACTCTTGCGGGACACTCTTGTAGGAAACTCTTCTGGGATACTCTTGTAGGACACTCTTGTGGGACACTCTTGTACGACACTCTTGTGGGACACTCCTGTAGGACACTCTCGTGGGACACTCTTGTGGGACACTCTTGTAGGAAACTCTTGTGGGACACTCTTGTAGGACACTCTTGTGGGACACTCTTATAGGACACTCTTAAGGGACACTCTTAAGGGACACTCTTGTGGGACACTCTTGTACGAAACTCTTGTGGGATACTCTTGTAGGACACTCTTGTGGGACACTCTTGTAGGACACTCTTGTGGGACACTCTTGTAGGGCCCTCTTCGTACGAGACTTCCTCCAAAAGTCACCCGTCATTTCTCCAAAACGAGCGTTTCGTACGAGACTTCCTCCAAAAGTCACATGTCAAGTCTCCAAAACGAGCGTTTCGTACGAGACGTCCTCCAAAAGTCACGTGTCAAGTCTCCAAAACGAGCATGTCGTACGAGACTGCCTCCAAAAGTCAAGCGGAAACACCCATGGGAGCACACACATCACGCAGCCCTGCCAAGCAGTTTCGCGAGTCCAGCCCCTCCAAACAACACCCGTTCACACGCCAATCCCACTGTGACAGCGACATTCACCTCTACCACAACTCACACCCTCACAATTCCCTGCGCCTGCCACGAATCTTTCCGCATCCACACGTCTAACGCGCACAAAGTACTGCGCCTGCCACGAAATGTCACCTCCGTCACACCTCGCAACCTCACCATTCCCTGCGCCTGCCACGAGAATCGCACTTCCACGCCTCAAAGCCCACACAAAGTACTGCGCCTGCCACGAAAAGTGGCAATATCATCTCATGTCAGCTTCAACAAAATTTGCACCACACCACACGTTTGGAATGATTTCGACCCGTTCTGAACACACTCCCATCATCTCCCATCCACCAAAATCGCCATTTCAGCTAAAACAGAGCTTCGATGCCACACCCTGAAACGCAAATCCCAATGGCACGGTCACATCCAACGCCCCAAAAACACGACTCTCCAAACGCTAATCCCAATGGAACTGCGTAGCAAACTGAGGATCTCACAAAACGCTGCGCCTGTGCAGCGAAATGCATCACGCTTCTTGCGCGACATGTCATTTTCATGCAAATCACGATGGAATAGCGTCGCAAACTGACACGTGACACATCCATGAAAAGTCACTTGCAAAAGCTTCCCCCAATGGCAGCGCCTTAGCGCTCTACTGCGGACACCTGCGGACGGTTGCGAACGGTTGGTTGCGGACGTAGAAACAACGGATCGCGAACAAGGCTCTACCCCCAGACCCCCAAGAGTTAAACGAGAACCCTTCGCTACGCATTCGGGAAAAAAAGCCTAGGAGCAAGGACGCTACTAACTAGGGGCTCATGGCCTTACTACTAGGAGCAAGCACGCTACTAGGGGCTCCTGGCCTTACTACTAGGAGCAAGCACTAGCCTTACTACTTTTGACAAGAAGCTACGGGCTCCTGGCCTTACTACTTTTGACAAGAAGCTACGGGCTCCTGGCCTTACTACTAGTAACAAGAAGCTACTAGGGGCTCCT